CCCGTGCAACGTCAACAGCATAGCACAACGTAGCATCCAACCCAGTGCGCAACGTCACAGGAACGTCAACATGCCCCCCCCACTCCGTGCAACGTCACCAGCATATAGCACAACGTAGCATCCAACCCAGTGTGCAACGTTAACCTATATGTGTGAAACGCAACGTCAAGATGCAACATAGACGCATACATATATATTCTGGGAAAGTGCACAAAACATCCAAGAAGCAAAAAACGCAAAAACGCACGTACGGTTTTAGAGCTGTTAGCATAAACAAGTTCACACTACTCAATGAGCTTGTCAGGACCAGGCTGTACTGGCTCAGACTGGACTTGTAACTGTAGGGTCTGGTGAAATCCCCATCACCTGGCGAATCTCTTCGATTTCTTTTCCGGCTTCCTGAGAGCCGCTCTCCGGACGTCACACACGTGAGGCTCCTGGATGATGACAGCGAGCCCTGGCCGGTGAAGAGTCCGCAGGTCGGCTCGCTGTGGAGAAGGATGCTTTTTCCCAAGTCGAGGGTCTCCAATGTCTCCATCCCAACATAGCAAGAAGATGCTTTCCATGCCATGCCATGCCATTCCAACTCACTGGGGCTCCAAAGGAGGACGTCAGGGTCTCCAATGTCTCCATTCCAACATAGTCGAGGGGCTCCTTAGGAGTGACCAGTTTGGAGAAAACCTGAGACATATCATGCATGTGTGGACGCGTTAAACATGGTCAGGAGCCTTCTATGTTTCAGTCCGTCAGGTTATATACAGTATCTTATAGCATTCTTGAAATCTGTATTCTTTGTGGGCCAGCGAAGCTTTATGAAGGAACATCAACGCAGACCGTTTTTGTGACCCCACACGCTGCGTGGACGACCCCAAACCCGCGCCCCGCTGGACGCTGCGTGGTCGTCCTTCGAAAACGACCATAGGGGCGGGCCAACCGACCTCCGGCGCTCCGGCGACCGCGGGGGTGGCTCCCGGTCGCCCTTGCCGTGGACTCGGTGGACCACGCATCAGATGAACCGAGTCCGTTTTGGGGGATGTTCAAGCCACCAGGATTTGGGGCTGAACCGGTGTCAGGTGCCATGCCGCCAGGCATGCCTCACCAGTTTTCATCTCTTTGCCCAACGACCCGAGGAGACGGAGTGGTTTGCGGCCAAGGGCAAGACAAGTGCTTGGATTCAGCTGGACTTCGGATGTGACAAGAGCCTCGTCTTTTTTTCACATGTTGTTTGTGTGAACTTTTGTTTTGATGTTTTGATGTCTGTTTTGATGTCTCGGTCGACACGTTGAAATGCACCGACACCTGAAATACATGTTGATTTGGGATGATGTTCTTTGAAGCCGTTGATCATTGAGGGAATGAGGATTTAGTTGCAAGATTCCCAGTTTTTGGAAGAGGAACCACATCGATCTGGACTCTGCCTGTCTTTTTGCCACGCGATTCGAGTTCAACATGTTCCACCTGTTATACCGTGAACTGAGGAACCTCGCCGTCGCGAAACGCAATAATCATTCCAAGAAGACACCATCCAATCTAGCCGCCTTTCAGGTGCTCATCCAATCTTGCCCGTTCCAGGGCTTCAGCACTTGTTTTTTTCAGCACTTGTTTTTTCATCTCCACCAGCCCTAAGCAAGGCACAGGGCAGGGTGCCGCACAGGCACGGCGCATCTCCACGTGCCCACGTGCCCTGCTTTGCCCTGCGCTTCGCGCCCCACGGTGCCGTTTCGCCCAGGAAGATCACCTCTGTGGCATGGACCTGGTGGGCCAAATCCATGGCTGATGTGGCTCGTTGGGCACCGGAACGTTGGCGGCGGCTTGTTGGGCACCGGAATTAGGTGGAAGGCACCGAGGTACCGCTCGGAGGGAGGGAACAGGGTTGGCCTGGGAACACAGGTCGGAGGCCATCGCTAGTAGGCCCCCGTGTTCGCCGACCGGTTTGGTCCGTCTTCCAAGCAAGTAGCGATGACCTTCAACCTACTGCTTTCTGGATGTTCTGGTAGAAGGAACGTATGTGAACTTGAATCATCGACCCAAATGAGTCTTCCACTGTCACCTCGCAATAGCCAGGATCAAGTTTTCGTCCCAATAGCCAGGCAGGTTGCTTGCAAGTCGTCCGAATGGGTTCCAGTACGGCGATGGTTCGGCGATGGTCTAATTAGGTTGGCATAGTGCAGTTCTTATATGTTCAATTCTACTTGCACTTGTGCAGATTGGGAGAGATTGGGTGTGTGTCACAGCCCGTATTCAAGAGTTCTTTGACTTCCTCTTCTTTTTTTCACAGTGAACAGTTCCAATTGCACTGCTCTTTCTGTGTACCTGTTTTGTTTTAGCTTTGAACTCACTATGTTTGGGTAAATCATTGTTCTAGATGCTTCACCATGCTGCTTGCGCAGGACCATTGCCAGGGTTTTGAGGTTTGCTCTAATCGTGCCATGCTATATACAGGTAACGAGTTATTGGCATCTTACCGAAACATGCTCCTTCCGAGATCGAATCTTCAGTGGTGTGCGTGTGTGCGCTGATGTTTTTTTGCAGAAGATCATTCCAAGAATCTTTGACTCATTTCCTTGTCAAGTTCGACTTAAATCAGCCAACTGGTAGAATGACCAAGTATTTGCTTTTTTTGTCATTCAGGATTCACGGCAGTCGACGTCCCAGATGATCTTGCTCCCTCAGGAATGGCTCTTAGAGAGCAAATCCACCGGCGATGAAACATGGACCTTGCGTCGCAGCAGCGTCCGCGACGGCGTGAGTGCAGCGCCTTCCGACTTCAACGCGGAGGCGGAACTGGAAGGGTGGCCCGAGGAGCCCAGTCGCTGGGTGAGGCTCACCATGCAGATGCCTGGACTGAAAAGATCACCACGGCGGTTCCAGAGGTGGTCGAATGCCCAAGAAAATCCCAATTTCAAGGGAATCCAAGGGCGTTACAACAGCCAGTTCTGGAGGAAACCGACCATTCCATGTCAGAACGCGATTCTTTACCAGAAATTCAAAAATTGCCAAACTATATACAACAGACATCAACAGACCATCATGCCTTTGAACAACATGTAAATCAAAACCTGCAAATCTCTTCGGAAGCTCAAACGGCTTATTTCCCAATTGAGTTTCCGCCAAACCAATGAACACCCAAAAAGCCGAGTACGTCACCGCCAAGTACGTCATGTCTGGGGAGCTAACTCTCTCCCGCTCTCGGTGACATTCGTGTGTACCCGGACGCTCCGTGAAACCCAGCCCGACCGGTCCCTCAAAGCCTAGGCATTTGGGACCCCAGACCCCGTCAGACTCACTTCCTTCTTCTATTTTATCTTCTAACAGAGCAACAAAAGGCCACGACCGTGCAAGAGGACCCCCCCCCACCCTAAAATTTTCATCCCCCCCCCCAAAAAGGCGCCCCAACCTCAACCAGGTGCCATGCTCCAACCAGGTGCTCACACCTTTTCACCCGAGGAAGGGCCATCTGGACCCCTGGAACTTTGGTGTCTTCTTCGGCCTTCGCTCCTTCACCGCCACCGGTCGCGACGACTTCGCAGCGGACGGCGCGCGCGCCGCCTGGCCAGGCGGCACTGGCAAGCAGAGAGAGAGAGAGAGAGAGAGTGGGCAGTCAGAGAGGGCAGTGAACCGTTCTTTGTTGAGATCAACGAGGTACTTCATTTTAGGTATTTTCCAAGCTACAATCCTTTATATAGTCCCTTTAAAATCCTTTTCCTTGTTCCGAAAACTCTCGAATTGGGTATGAATTGAGTCACAGAAACCCAAGAGATGTCCTTTTGCAACGGCGGGCATGGAATGCATCGTGCAGAGTCACGGTTTGTAGCTAACCACTTGGGACTTCAGACGAGCTAAGGTTTTTGTAGCTAACTCGTCTCAGGATACTTCAGTCAGCCCTTAACAAAAACGTGACATCAATCTATATGAATGAATCTTCTTTGGTGAACTTAATCCCATTGCATCAAAGTTAGCCCTTAACGAATCCGTCTTTGGTGACTGTCCAGCGAACCGCTCCACCATGGTTTTTTTCGCTCGAATCGCTCCGTCCAGGTGCCCTGCGCGGAGCGGCGCCGGGGCTCTGGTTCGCGCTGGAGCATCCCCGCGCGCGCTGCGAGGTGGACGGTGCCGCGCGGCGCCTGAGCCCTGAAGAGCCAGAGGTGTGGCGACTGGCCAGGTGGGGGGTGCCGGTCGAAGAAGAAAGAACAGACCGTGCTTAGACACATAATGACCTAGAAAAACACACCTATGCCACCTATGCAATCCTATGCATGGTGTGTATAGATGTGTAACACCTTGTATTTGGAGTATTAATGATCTCTATGTCTGCATGTTCTTCCTTTTCCTAACCAGCTGTGTTCCTTCACTTTCTATTGCTTGACACGGCCCGGAACACCAGGTGCACCTTACGCCTGGCCGAGCGCGTTGCTGGCAACGCCCACGCGAACCACGCGGTTCACGGTGGCATTGAGGTGACGGCATCGCTGGGGACGTTTGAGGATGAAGCACATTCGCAAGTGCGGCGCAGCTTTAGTGAGACTTGGTATACTGTACGTTCCGTCGGTACGTAGTCATCCTGTGTTTGGGTGTCCAATAGACTACCCTATCCTACTTAAAAAAGGCCTCCATGGGGCACCCATTGGAAGTGCTACTGTATAGGTAGTAGTATCGTTCTTTTGGAATGCGAGACTCCCACTTTTGTGAGCGAACGGAACGATCAGCAGGATGGGACACGGCCTTGTCATGAGACGTACGATGTGAGGCTGTAGTACGGCTGTTTGGTGAGCGGAACAGCGGAACAGTGACGACATTCAGAAAATAGCTTGAAGCTACGACATTCACCATCCGGATCTAGGTGATTTGTGGTAGATGACATGGGATGACCTGGTTTTGGTTAATTGGGGATCATAGGGGTGATTTTTGTCCTTTACCCGAGCTGGGTCAATGCCCAGGTTCCTGGGGAATACTTTCTACTTTTTCCCGGCTTCCCAAGCTTAGGTTGGAGGCCATCGCTAGTAGGTTGGAGGCCATTGCGATAAGGTATATTATTGTGTATGAGAAACATCTGTTCTTTTCGGATCGCGAAGCTCCGCCGTGGGAAGCGCGGCGGCCTCAGGAGTACCTGGAGGAGGTACGTGGGTGGCCCTTCGGGCAGGCGTGAGGGGGGTGGAAGGAGCGGATGGCGCTGGGGGCTTCGGAGGAGCGGACGGCGCATCAAGTGGGTGTTGCAAAATTGCTGGGATGTTATATGAATCGTTTCGGCATTATGTCTGTGGTGTTTGTTTCTTGTTGTGTTCGTCCTAAGTATTGATTGTCAAGTGTTGTGGCGATCTTTGGTCATCGTGGTGGTCGCGTGTCGTGATATGAGGGTGTTGTGTCTTTGTTGTTTGTTGTCTCATTTTGTGACCCTGGTCTGTGACTTCCTCCAGCAGGTCTTGGAATGGGGCTCTGCTTTTGGGTTGGTGCCATGCTTCCCAACCGCCGCGACCGGTTTTCTTCTTTTCTGGTGGGACCAGCTGCTGATCAGACCAGCCGACCAAAACTGCTGAAAAGGATCCCTTCTTGCTTGGGCCAGAACATCTAGCTATATCTATATTATTCTATATTAATATATCCCAGTCAGGACGAACGCTGCGGAACTGACCACGGCCTAGGCCTAGCTCATCAGTGAAAGATTCTTCCACCAACGTGGTCTGTGGTCCCAAACTGTTAGATCCACTTCTGGGAGTGGAACATGCTCCTTTTTGTCGCCCTCCGGAAACGACCTTTTCTCATCTGGCTGTAGGTCATGGCACCGGGTTTTCCTGTGACTACCTGATATGGTCAACCCGTATCCTGGCTGGTGAAAGGGGCTCCGCCCCGGATTTGGATCCACACCAAGCTGCCAGATCTTGCATTACAACAGCTGGTACGACCTCCGCTCCCCGTCCTGCGACGCTGCCGATCGACGCTGCTTTGCGCACGAGATGGGCGAGAAGAACTGTGCTGATCGGCTGAAGGCAGGCGTTGAAAAGGAGATACACTGAGAGGGACTGCTAATGGAAGAATCGTGGAACACTCCCTGGAAGACTTTAGAGGCTGGAAGAATCATGGAACACTCCCTGGGCGAGACCATGGGAAGTCTAATCTACACTTTCTCTGGAAGAATCATGGAATACTTTAGAGGCTGAATCTAAGAGGAACTGCTCATGACTCCTTTTTTGATCCAAAAGGACATCTTCCGGTATCCTTGACTGTTGCCACGTTCAATGGACGAATGCCCGCTTGGCGCCAAGCTTTGTTCATCCCTGTCGACCCGCGGAGGTCTTCAATGGGAACCTGAGCCATTGGACTGCCGAGCACCACTTAGACGCCTTCCTCTTGGACGATGGCTGGGACAACCCCGACAGCTTGTGGGAGGCCGGTGAGGTCAACCGGTTGAGTCAGGCGGCCGGAAACTGTTTGGTCCACGAGTGGTCGTAGGTCTCAGGTGGTGGAGCTTCCTTTTTTGAGACCTACTACCACTCGTAAATCAAGGGAAGTGGAGAACTGTTTGTAGGATGAAGGAACTATAGTAGCAAGGATGGAGGATTTATAGGAACTATAGTCTATAGTGTTGTTACTTTGGGATATCATCGGTTCCTGCCCTTGGTCGTCGGGGTTGCCCGATGGCGGGGTACATCGGGGTACCACGTACCGCGGCGAGTCTTTTTTGGCTCATATCTCATCCCGTCCCAATCCAATTCATGTAGTAACAAGTGCATCGCTACTAGTAACAAGTGCCTTGCTAGTAGTAACAAGAAGCTACTAGGAGCAAATCATTCCATTTCACGTCTGAAATCTCGTCGCGTCCAGGTGGATGATGCCCGGTTTCCTGAGGGCTTTGCGCCGCTGGTGCGCCACGCCAAGCAGATGGGCACTCGACTGGGCGTCGCTTTGCTGCGCAGATCGGGGGGGGCGACGACACCGTGAAGGCGAAGGGTTCAACCCGTCCAACCTGCCCAGGTGTGAAGTAGACGGTGACTAGCCAGGAGAGTTAGGACCTGTGGGGGTCCTTTTTTCCATACAATTGGTCAACTCAACCGGAGTTTATGATCCAAAGTGGAGATGGGAGAACTTCCCATGACATCCCTGAGTCCAAGGTTGGACAAGATAACAGCCATAAGACATCCATAGATCACATATTCTTAGAGAGAATAGAGAGAATGTCCTTAGATATCCATAGATCCCATATAGATCCATAAGATATCCATATCCATACCCCGACACGACTAATGGGACTACCATATTTATATACTTACATTGCGTTGGTTGAAAAGTCCGGGGTCCATGGGGCGGCATATCTTCCAACATTTTCCAGTCCCATGGATCGTTTCTAGCTTGGAGGCCATCCTAATATAGGTTGGAGGCCATCGCATTTAGGTCGGAGGCCGTTGCTAAGGTTGGAGGCCATCGCTTTTGGGGTGGAGAGTGTCTGGGATACTGCAAAGAGGCTCCTTCTCCACCGACTCCACCAGGTCTGGATGTCTCCCTTCGGCGGCTACGGCGCGGCCGGCGCCCGGCGCGTGCGCTTCGGCGCGGCGAAGGGCTTCGAGCGCAGCAAGCGCGGGAGCTTCGCGCTGGCAGGCGCCCGGTGGGGGTCGGCTTAACGTCAGCCAGCGTGGCTGGAGTGTTGGGCTGTAGCGTTTCTCACAGACTTGTAGTGTTTCTAAGACCTGTAGGACCTAAGACATGCAAGACGAAGTAACTTGGCTCCCACGCCTCGTTTAAGGGTCAATTCTACTGCTTCAGAACCCGAGTGGGACGAACTGCTGCGCCATGGACAGGTATTTTCTCCCAGTATCTACCGGGTGCAAATCACAGGTCAGGGATGTCTCGCGAACTTACACATGCAGGATGAAACAACTTCCCTACAAAGCTTCCGGTTTTTAACGTTCTGAAAGACATCATCCGCTCAGCTTGTGAACAAACCTTCCGCAACGCGTTTCGAGGTCAACGCGTCGCGCCGCGCCAGGGCCCAAGTACTTTCAGAACTTTCAGGCGAAGGTGAAGCAACGGATCTCCGCGACCTGGTGAAAACCCGTCACCGGTGCGCGTGTTTCACCTGAGTTGACCTGAGTTGACCAGGTTGACCTCGTGAATTACTGGAGTCGATCAATGTTGATCACTTAAAACATCACCCAACTGAGGTTTTCAGGGCCAGGCTTTACAGGGTCAGCATGGACTTGTAGGGTTTGGGTATGTTTGGGTGTTTTTTCCGTTGAAAGGGCTGGGCGAAAGAGCCCAAAGGGGTTGAGGAGATGCGACTGGGAAGAGCAACTTGGAAAGACGTGGGCAGAGGATGGCATCCAGGTGGCCGCGTGCGGCGCCCTTGCGTTCCGCACCTGGAAATTCCAAGAAATCGCAGGCACGTGTTTGTCGCACGAAGAGCAGAAAGCAACCATTCCAAGAGGATACAAGAGGACTCTTACGCATGGTGGATGCTTCTTTTGGTATGCTTTCTGAACGGTTCCACATGCAAATGATCTTCCATGTTTGCTTTGGCAAGGGGTAGATGGCGGGCTACTCGGCTGGTCTTTGGTGTTCTTTTCTCTTTTCTAGCGGCCCTGAGCACACATGGGCCATAGTGGAGTGGCCCGCACTCTTAGAGCCGTGATCCAGTTGGTTTAGAAGGAAGTTCGTACGAAGCGAGCTGGACAGCGAAGCATATACCCTATAGGCTTCCTGTCCCACCATGAATTTAATCCCGAAGAACCCTTGTTTTCCCAAGGATTTTACACCACGAAAGCAGCTCGTTCCCATGCTGAAAATCGTCTTGGAAGGCTAGTGGGGCACATGTATATTACATCTTCCTTCCCTTGCGCCCAGAAAACCAGACACCTCCATCAATCCCTATGACTCCCTATCCTTCCTCCCGCCTCCCGGTCCAGAAGACCAGAACCTCCCGACTCCCGACTCCGCTCCCTCCGACCCTCTCTTCCTCGTGCCGTTTCGCCGAGGAAGGCTTTGGCATCTTCAAGTTCGACGGCTTAGGCGGGGTGGTATCTTCAAGAATCCTCAAAGAATCTGCAAGTTCCATCAAGTTCCAATTTGGGGTACTTCCAAAACTTGGAAGATTCAAATCTGGTTGTAAACCAGTTCAGGAGTAGCACTCAGGATGTTTTTGTTCGTTATTTTTGATCCGAACCTGGTAGAATCCGCTGAGGCGGTGGCTTGGGCCAGAGCGGCGGCGAGGAGGATCGCAACGACTTTGAGGCCATGCTCTCCCTGCTCGAGGCCCCATCAGAGCGAGATGGAAGCAGAAAACGGGAGGCAAACCGGTTTCAGGGGATTTCCTTCTGAAGAAGTGGAGAAGTTACTGTCAATTTCATACCTTTTTGTGAGATCTTTCTCTCTGTGAGACTTTTCAAGATGTTTGGTTCAGAAAGCGATCGGATGAAGCTGTGGGATGCTGTTGCTTGGAGCCAGAGAAATCATGATATGCCGCCGAGCATGAGCATTCTTCGTGTGAAGTCCGCGTCATAAAAACACATGGGGAGCTCAGCTCTCCACGCTCTCCACGCTTCTCCGCGGCTCGCGTCGCACAGGACGTGCGAGGAGAGGAGGGTGGGAAAGAGATGCTTCGCTGCAGCCGGACTCCGAGAGCCCTTCGTTCGTCGGACCTGCGACGTCACGAACACAGAGGGGGCCCGGGCCACCCCGGATAGCCTTCTGGACCGGAAAGGTTTCTCTGTTTGCGACCGGAGCAAGGAACAGTCGGAACGTCCTCATGGTGGAAGTGGGATAGGATGGCCACGGTTTGGGAAGACCATACCCAACAGGGGGGTGAACTGCCCTTCCATGTTAGCAGGGAGAGTCGTTCAACTTCTGATTTCTCGAGGATCTGGATCAGCCTCACCATTGGAACCTGGCCTTCACCCTTTTGGCCACCCGGCGATTTCGTTGTGCGGCGTGGAGCATATGAGCCGACAAAATCGAGTGCATACTAAAGTAGTCACAGGGTGGTCTTGGGATGTTGGACAGCTGCATCAAACCTGCAGAACCGATGGCCGACCCGTCTACCGATGCCCCTTTCGATGTACCAACCACTTAATTAGGAAGCACGCTGCCACGTTAGAGTTGTAGCTGGCGAAAAACACTTGGTAATGTTGCTCTTCTCAGTTTGAGATTGAGTTGCTTACGGCAGTATACAAGACGTTTTGCAAGACCTGCAAATTTCCAACCACTGAATAGCTTTCTCACCGCAGTGCCCTACTGATGCCCCAACCGATGCCTACCGATTCCCACGTCGAACGTGTTTGTGTCCATGGAAGAGCAGCTTCCCCACAACTGGTACCAAGCACTACTGCGGTTGATTCGTGCCCTCACTGTTGGCGTGCCAAACCTGAAGGTAGTGAAGCTGGTATGCCCTTGCCAGCCCCCCATGACTACATCTACCCTGAGGGGTCATATACCTTTTCGTGGTGAATGCCATTTCGATGCAAATGCCGGCCAATACAACTTGTTTGGCGAACATCAAGAAGGTACTTTTTGCAGATACCCGCGTGGTGAACACATGTTCGGAACAGGACATCCAAACCGGTGAAGTCTTGGGGTTTCTCACTTTGTGTTGAGCCTCATCCCATGTTGAACGACATCGGAAAGCACATGGAACAACCAACATCGGCGGGAAGTTGGGTCGGGTCACCGGGCACTGTTTCGGTCGTTCAGTTCAGTCATGTTCCGACGATGGTGACAGCAAACTAGACGACCATCCACTACAATCATCAATTTGCAACAACCATCCACTACTCCCTCCAGAAACGTGTTTTTCTTTTTTTTTTCTGGTGAGCCTCCACCATCCCTCTCCCAGCTCTTTCAAGGGAAGTATGCTTAACGCTTAAGGCGATCCGGTGAAATCCCCAAACCTGGGGAATATCACGGAATATCATGGAATATCTGTTTTTTTTCCTGGTCCTAGGAGCCTCAAAATCCAAGTTCGCCGAGGTTGCTCTGGGGGGACTCCATCTGGCGCGACGGCCCCGACGTGGGCTTCGAGGGCCGCGGCAGCGCCCGCGACCGCTGGTTGAGCTTCCGCGACCATGCGCTGCAGCGCGCGCATGCGCGGGGGCCGCTGTTCCCGATCACGGGGTTCATGCAACATGGAGTGGTGTGGAATCTTGGAGTGGTTTGGGAACACCAGATCCACGCGCCGCTTTCGACCAGGCTTTTGGGCATTTCGAGTTGAAGCCACCAATTCCAGATGAGCGGTCCGAAGATCGGGTCGGAAGTGGGAAGCATGTATTTTTTTGGTTTGGGTCAATGATTACCTGGTGCTTAGAGGTCTAAGTTAGAGCAGCTACCGAGATTATTGGTACCAAATCCCAGTATTTTATGATGGGTAGGATTCCTTTATGGATTCCTACCAACTGGACATAATTAGATTGTGATGGGCAGAAAGACTTCAAATGTATCACATTTATATAATGTTATTTAAAGGAGCAAGGACGCTACTAGGGGCTCCTGAGCTAGTAGAAACAATAAGTAAATAGAATTTAATTAGAAATGCAAAAAAGCACTTGTATCACCTTTGTTCTTTAAATGGGCTGTGGGTTCTGAGTCGGTCCCAGATCCTGTTCCAGGCAAATCCAAGCCGTCCACAGCGCACAGCTTTCTTTCTTCATCCGAGGAGCAAGACGGCGGAGACCAGTGAGATGTGGCCAGCCGAGCGACCACTGGTGGACACTCAGCTGGTGAAGAGGGGGAGGAGGTGGAGTGTAGGTAACACCAACTAACTACCTGAGTGGTCTTTGCTTTGGCAAGAAGGTATTGCAAGGGGAAGATCGGTGAATGACCCTGAGTTGGTGAAGGCGCTTCATAGTCAGAGGGTGGCCAGCTTCTTAGAGCCCTTGCAAATCTGCTCCAGCAGCTACTCCAACCTACTTGCGATGGCCTCCACCCTAGTAGCGATGGCATCCACCCCAGTAGCGATGGCCTCCAACCTCGTAGCGTCCTTGCTTCTTTTCTCCACCATGTTGGACGGGTTGCCTTTGAGACTTTGGCTGAGTAGTTTTTGCTGGGAAAGTGAGGACGACTGCGTTCTGAGGACTTCTGCAATGAAGTGCTCACCTTCTTTCTGGCAGGCACAGGGCTTCAAGAGCTTTACATCCAAATGGAGCTGATACTCGGCCAAACTTGATGTGTCTTGCGACTCGCTCGATCCCGGATTTTCCTCTGACCATTCGATTCCGGAATTTTCCTCTGAAAGAATTGATTGGGTCCGCATTTGTGTGTTTCTGTGCTTTCGCGTTGGGCCAAGAACCCCCTGCTATGGTGGACGATCCGTTCATGTACGGCATGAGAGAATCTCCCATTTCGCCTTAAAAACACACAGACACAGGTCACTTGCACCCACAAGCAACATCCATCAGCATCCGTTATTGTTAAGTTCATCTCAATGGTGCTTATTTTTGTTCATCGTTGTTCATCTCAACGTTATATTTGTTCAGGGCTGGTCTGAGCATTCTTCAATTGCGGAGTTTTGCGGAGGCGTCCGTTCGGCCGCCGAACCACGCCGAGGATGGACGACCTGAAGTGGTCCGCCCTGGCGCAGATCTCCGCCTTCGCCCGGACGCAGATGCACGTGCTGCGCGATGCGCACCTGGTCTCGCTGGGGGAGGGGCCTCTCTATGGAAGCGCCGCCTTGGAGGCGGGCCGGCGCGTGCGAGGGGCGCGACAGCGATTGAAGGGGGTTCCACATGGGGTATCCAGAGCGCCAAGCGGGGCGCGCTTGCTTGGGTTTTGGGCAGCTAATAGCTAAGAAGATGGGACAGTCACAATCCATTTAAGCTAGGGGAGTTTGACTGGTTTGACATTGACATAAGACCCTCCCTCCTTCGCTCGTGGTACATCCCATGGGATTGACCAGCATGGCCCGAGCGGAGCCACAGGTGTCCTCTCAGGACGGCCTTCTGTGGCTGCGGAACCCCACGGCAGCCACCGAGCGCGGGAGCTTTAACCTCGGTGGCCGGGCAACAAACGTGGCCGGGACACGGGAGCCATGGGCTCCAAGCTACTAGAGCAAGTAGCTCCAAGCTAATAGAGCAATGGCCTCCAACCTAATAACTAATAGCCATAGAGCAATGGCCTCCCAACCTACTAGAGCAATGGCCTCCAAGCTAGGATTCCAACCCCCATTCATTTACTGTAAATAGGCTTTCCCAAAGAACCACTGTTCTACTGATCAAAATGAGGTCATCCATTTTTGTAATGATCTTGGGAGTTTAAGAGGAAACATGGGGGCCCGAAAGATGAAACACCGGAGCTGAAGATGGTTTCTACCAGGGCCCTGGGTTCAAAATCCAAGAATGACCCCGGAAGGGGTGAATGGGTATCTACCAAGTTCAGTTTTTTGGCGTGTCCAATCATAGCCCCGAAAAGAGGTGTCTAATAGGGTGTCTACCAGGACCACCCCTCAAACAGGGGGGCCTACATGTCTAGACGTTTCATGATGTTTCTACACGTTTCACCTAGAGATTGACTGACCGCTCATTAACTTGTAGGGAGACTGCTTGTTTACTCTTCAAAATGGAGCTTTGCCAGACTTCAAAGTGGTAATTCAACCACCGCCAGTGCAGTGGTTTTGAAGCAACAAGATCTGGATCACCAACTCGAAAGGCAGGCAAAGCTGTACGTTCACCGAATCAACATTTACAGAACACCTGGAAAATACTTTCTGGGAACCTGGGACAACTGCCCTGTGAAGCTTATCAGCTGATCATCTATGTTGTCTATAGTTGTCTATAGTGGCTGTTCTTAAAAAAACAATCAATTCCCCTCCGCCGCGTCCTCTCCGCTCTCCTCCCGTCCTTTGCCCACCCCGCCGTCAGGTCAGATCCTGGAGCTTCCCGCGCGCCTCGTGCGGAGCACCTGGGAGCTCCAGCCGCTCCAGCTGGGCCCCTGCGGACGGACGGAGACGGCGGCGCCGGGCGCCGCGAGGGCGGCGACGTCCGCGACGGAGGAGATCGCGGTGACCTTGGAAGGCTTCGAGGTGAAAGCCTGGAAGGTGCGGTGCGGTGGGAGTGGAGGACGCCACCTAGAAAAGACCTTCGGGTCGAAGTGGAGGCCGCTACTAAGAGGGTTGGAGGCCATTGCTAGTTGGGATGACGCACTTGGGCCGTTGCTGGGTGTTTGGAACGTGAAGAAGTGGACCTGAAGACATGACATGACTGTTTTTTGTTGGACAGTTTTCAGCCCCAGAGAGGGACCGAGAAATCTGAACCTGGGATCCCGTTCTCCGTACATATGGGATAGGCTATATATAGGGCTGCTCAACCTAGAACTTGGACCGAATTCGAAAGATGAATTCATTGGGTTCGACCAAATCCAAGGCATTGTGTATAGAGACTCTCCCACCAGATGCTGATGTGTAGAGAATCAATCACCCGGTTTCTTTTGGCCGAACTGGTCAGGTGATTTGGTTCCCCTTCCAGGCGAACTCCCCCAACCGAACGGGGAAGAAGATCTGTTATAATGGTTTTTGGCTTGCGCGAGCCTCTCCGTCCGTCCGTTTGGCCCTCCGGTCCCTGTCTTGGGGTGCACCCGGCATGAGACTTTGGTGCGGTCCGACCTCGGAGGTTAACTCATGGCTGTCAACGTGTGCTTTTTGGACTCAAAAAACAGGGGCCCAAGTTCCGATCTACTTAAGGGTGCTAGAGCCTGGTGCTAGAGCCTTTCGGAAGCGCCTATAGTCTATAACTATTCTTTTTTGTGGTTTTTACACATCTGGAAGAATTTGCAATATCACCACGAGAACATATTTACTTATCGAAGAGTCACAGACAACTCAAAAAGAGGATTTAGAGAGCATGTTCTTTCCTGGTAGCCAAAATTCTTAGTGTTTTCATCAGTCCACCTAAATTATAACCATAATATCACATACATCTTTTACATGGCCGAGAGCAACTTGAGTGGGGTTCACACCACCTGGTCTGACACAGTTGGCTGACACAGTGCAGGAGAGTGCATCAGTTTCTGAAGTGTTGATGACTTGGCAGCCCTCAAGGGGTGTACGCTGAGGTGGGCAAAGCAGCTTCTGCATCCGCGGGATGAGTTCCTTCTCCTTCTGCCGCGCTGGCAGCTCTGGGTGAAACCATGGCGCAGCTCGGGTCCTTGGGGGGCTCCATCTCCATCGACCTCCTCCACTGTGACTTCCTGCGTGCGCGAGAAGACGCAGCTGCGCAGGAACCTGCGGGGCACGAGCATCGTGTCGATGGTGCCGATCGATGCTGGGATTTCTTGGAGGTTCTAGCTTGGCGAGAGGACTGGTGGCCTGGAGCCCGCCAGGACCACAGACAGTGATGCTGCTGCTGAGCAGAGACGGTTGTGATGGTCTTGGGTCACGAATACGGTAGTGCCGAAGCAGTGGTCGCTTCAAAAAAGGCAAGCAAAGCGGATGAACGATGTCGTGCAGCGGAACCGGCTGTTGGATGATCGATGGGCAAAAGGGTAAAAAGAAGAACATCAACAGATCAACAGCAATTTGTATATAATCCCTAGAAGTCGAAGACTGTTTTAAAAAAGGTCTTTAGTAGACCCGAAAAGGAGATTCAATTAGCTGGCGCCAAACATCGTCTTTGGACTTCCAGGGGTTCTCAAGGTTTTTCAGAATCTCTTGATACTCACCCGGCATGTTTTTCGCATGGTATGTTGTGGTCGTCCAGGTACTTCTTGACAAGCGGTTCCGCTTCACTGAAGCTGTGAGCAGTGTGGCTGGGAGTCCCAGTGGAGGAGCTGCTCGGCCACGGTGACGATGGAAGAGGAGCATCACAGGAGTGACGATGGCCCCGTTCGAAGCAGTGGAGAGTGGGTCACTTGTGTCATGAAACACCATGTCCTGGTCCACCTTGTTTCGGATGACGTAGCAGGGGACTAGGAAATCCACCAGTTGCTTCAATAGATCCTTTTCCTTGGTGCGAAGAGCAGGCAAATGCAACCAAATGACCTCTCCTCCATGGGCCTCCTACACTCAACCAGAAGTGTGTAACACAATACTTCAAACATCACCTGACACGGTCTGCCAACAAAGGTTCAAGGACCCTAGTTCGACTGTCCCAGGTGGGTACCCCAGGTGACAAGTCGAGTCGGTCCTGTGACCTGCAACGTAGTACCTGAACAAGAACATCGCAGCTTTTTAGACAGAAAGGCCCGCAACCAGGCCTCATCATCATCCACTGAAACCCTATATACTCAAGGTGTGACCATGAAGCCTGTTGACACTTCAAAAAGACACCCCCGGTCTTTAAGTACAATCACTGTTGGCGGAAGTATCCTGGCCCAGATTCGCGCGCCTTTTTTCCATTTTTCTTTGGCAGCAGAGACGGGGGGTCAAGATGAGGGTCTTTGTCGACGTTTGCGAGACAAGTTCCAATGAAGTGGCGAGCGGTCAAAGAAGTTGTCCACCCAGAGATTGTTTGCTGCAACGTTTGGGAGTGTCTAAAGCAGGGAGATTCCATAAATGCTACCGTGCCAATGATGAAGGAGGTTGACATAGTACGCCGCTGATTGACATGCCCAAGTTTCGCGGTCAGCAAGTCAGCGAGGTAGAAACTCGGTTTCGACCTCCGGTCGAACCCACCGCCCTGGATCCGGAACATCATGCACCGTCCATCCGGTTCCTCCATTTCTCTCCTGCCCAGCCCCCGGACGCTGCGGTTTCGAGCTCAGCTCCCAGGCGCATTCACCGCGCTGACCGGATGCGGGGGAGGCACCATCGCCGGGATTGACGCGAAGGCGGATGGTGTGGGTGCAGGAAGAACTGGTCCGAGTTCGGAATCCAGAAGAAGCCTGATTTCTTCCGGTGTTTTTTTTGGGGGGTGCTGCTGCCAGAATGACTTGAGGGATTCTTCCGGATGAGATTTTTCCAGGAGTGGTGATTCTTCGAAGATAGCCGACAAAACCCGCGACACGAAGAGGGTGGCCTGTTTGTGACCTCATCACTTGGAAGAACCCGGAAGCCAAGCCTCCTTGCCCTAGGCCGACAGGGCTCCTGGCCCAGCTCGCTACTGGAACCCACCCCAACCTTGGCGGCCCGGTCGGGGTCCGCCCGCCCCATCCCCGGTCGGTTCGCCAGGTCAGGTCGACGGCTTCATCCGTCGGCCCGGTCGCCTGGGCGGCCCGGTCGCACGGACGAAAAGGTCGAAGCGGGTGCGGTGCGCGCGGATCCGCCCTGTAGAGACGTGGAGACTAACAGCACCTGGAAGATCCTGGAAGCAACAAGAAAACGGATCAACCTGGGGATGCAAGCTGTGTGGTTGATTCACTGGACATCAAATGAATCGCCCTACAAACAAAGCACTGTGAGCATCCACACTGTGAGCATCTCACGCCGGAACCATCGCCCTACAAACATCTCACAACCACCAGCGACACGTTTCCAACCACACAATGTGACACGTCACCACCACCACGCCGACGTGTAACAGTGTCACCCCTGACCGGGACCCTTGACCCCCCCACCGAGCGGAGCAGCTTCCCAGCTCAAGCGGCAGCTTGGCCCGTGCTCCCCCGAACCCCCCAGTCCCCAGCTCAGCGTCCCTCCGGGGCGGAGACGCGCGGAGACCCCGGCGGAGCACTGGCAAGCCACGAAGAGCCCCGGGCTTGGGATGTGATGTGCGTTCAAATGTGTGCCCTTTGTGGATCGATCGATCGATTCCAGACACGGGGAACCTGCGCCGACTGACGCAAAGCGAGCTTGCGCTGCCAATTTGCACGCGAATGGCGTGGTCCTTCTCGGCGTGAATGTCGTCCCAAGTTTCATTCAACCACTGACTTCTTCATGGTTGCCATCGGCTCTCATCCAGCTATTTGCTGCAGCACTGGCTCTGGCCCCGATCATGGGTCCAACTCTTGGGCCTGCAGTGATCGCACTTGCTTGATGGGATTGGCTTCTCCCACCTTGCCCTCGAAGTCCTTGTTCCATCGAATCTTCACGGCTGGATGGCCGAACCGCGATCGCTGCCGCCGCACGAAGCCCTGCACGCTCGCCGAACAGCGTCGCTCATCGCCACGGGCCGCATGTGATCGCCACGCGCAGCTCCCGGAGTCAGCTCCACCGTGTTCCCACGCGAGGCCGACGTTTCTCACGCCGCGTGTGTCTTACGGAGTCTCCCCGGTTCGACCACATGCAAGGTTTGGATCATAGACCAGTCTGCCCAGCCGAAATGCAGGTTGCACGAAAGAGAAGAGGTCTGCGAAGGTGACCCAGGTCTTCAAACCTGCGCAAGGCACCTGGGTTTTGGTGTCATGGAATGTCCGCCGAACATCTTTGTTGTTTCGCGCTGCCTTCAGGCAGTCTGGATGGTTGAAATGGGTGGTTGATCGTCAAAACAGGTGAAGCCGTGATGTGAGGGCCGGACCTCACAGAGGCCACTAACGGCCTCGGTCAGCTCACTTAATTGGATCTTATGGATGTTTATTTTGGATGGCCTGTAGGGGAGTTAGCTATGTTAGCTGCGAGTCAAAACCTGTAGCCCGCTTCAGCCTTCTGGGCCTTCTGACCTCATAGATCTTGGGCGTTGATTTTGTTCATTTGACCCGTGGTCAACTCCGGCCCGTCTGCGATATGACCGGTCGCCAAATCTGGGAACATCACGGCTGGAAATGACCCAAGTGGCCTCCTTTTCGAGTCCACCCTTTTTGAGCGAACATCTCAGAAATCCCGCGTCATCATGCACCACCTTTGTGTGAGTCCGGCGGCAAGCACTTGGGTCCGACATGACACCCTAGAAACACCAAAGGAAAGCACGCAAATGATGCAAACGGTGCCATCGTAATTCCAAAGACGCAGATGTACGTATCATGTCGTAGCGGACATCAACGGGTCACATCGTTTTGTTGCACTGTTTGGATGACGCAAGGGCCCACAATGACTCGGAACTCTCGCCCACTCACCACGAAGTTGCGCCATCAAACGAGGCGAGCATTAGGGCCGCCCGAAAGCAACGCCACGGGGTATTTGAGAAGGAGGAAGAAAGAGTTTGAAGAGAATGTCCATGTTCAAAAGCGTTCTCAAGAGATATGATATGATGACAGAGGATGTCATGATATTGATGTGAGTGATGTGATGCATCATGTGTGTTTGGTGTGGATGTTGAACACCTGCATCTACACACTTGTAGCCTGTACTTCGGTATTTGTTCTGCTTTTATCCCTGTATCCTCACTTTCATGCACACCTGTATCTACGACTATACACCTTCACCACAATGCGTTTGCTTGCGAAAATGCTTTTGTAGAAGTTTTGTTCACACCGGTCATGGCAAGTATCTGTACACCATTCAACTGCAGAATTCCGGCACGTTTGGACGCCATGTCTTCATCGGAGACCTTCTTTTCGACCCGCGTGTTGGAAGAAGAGACAGAGCAGCCAGATAATTTAACCAAAAAGTAAACATATTTTTTTCACCACCTGTCAGGTGAGGGTTGTGAGATGTTAGAAGAGGACCCCGCAGCTTCTGAAAGTTTCTCTTCCTCTTGTCCTTCTCCTCGCCTCATAACAGCAAACGGCAGAACGCAGTGGGCAGTACCGGACCTCAACAGGAAGTGTCAGATCGCACTGGACACGACCGGGCCCCAACAGCAAGTGCCAGATTGCACTGGACACTGCCGGACCCCAACAGCAAGTGCCAGATCGCCGTGGGCACTACCGGACCTCAACAGCAAGCGCCAGATCGCAGTAGGCACGCAACAGGCACTGCCGGTCTCAACAATAAACTTCACATCGCAGTGGTCGCCGCGGGACTTCGCTAAATAGAGCGCCAGAACGTATGCCACATAGAATCATACGCCGAGTGGAACCCTAGGGTATATGCCAGTTCGAACGCCAAGAAGTCAATGCCAAGTAAAGTGCCAACCATTCCGCCTTTGTTAGGCTAGTCTGTCAAAACATGTCCGTTGCCCGCTTGACTCCCCTCGAACAATCCATTGCGTCCGCGACAGCTGAAAGTAGACGGTAGACGTGACAGGCTTATGTGCCCGAAGGGTTTCTGTCGGTGAAGTGGGTTTGTGATATGCGCCCTGACCAGCTCAATATCGACGTCAGTCGAAGCGCAT